GCTTCTGAGTTCTCCGGTCATTAGAAAAATTAAATTCTAGCCGTTGCCTTCCGGGAGGGCGGAGAATACGTCCTCCTCCCTCACCCTCACCTAGTGCAGCTAAAACCTCAGGCACCACAGATAGGACGACTCTGCACGTGGGGAAGGAGGCTGACCACCCAGGGGTCCCGGACCTGGAAGTGAGGACCCGCGGCCTGGGGCTCCTGCTGGTGCAGAGAGCGAGCACCAAGAAAAGCTGCTCTTGCTGAAGGACCAGGGGAGGGGCAGCCCAGCCGGGCAGCCCCACTGCCCGCTTCGCCCAAACACACAGCGCTGCAAGCCCACCCACGCCCTCGCCAGGCTGTAGTGCTCTGACCCCCAACCCCATCCAAGGTTTGAGACAAGGCCCAAGAGGGGGCCCAAGTTTTCACCCCCCCAGGAGGCAGTGTGCCAGCCTGCTCCCCCACCCAGTGTCAGCAGAGGCCTCGGGGGACCAGGACGTCCGTCCCTTCCCGGGAATAACGAGGGGGCCTCCCTCCAGGGCACGCTCAGAGGGGACCACTGTAGCAGAGACTGAAGTTAAGACGCCAAGTCTCCTAACCCCCAAATGTCCTGGTTTCAAAATGCAATCACTCCTAACAAGAACCAGGAACAGCTCAGACTGAACGCGAACAGCAACAGGACACAGACGTTAGAATTACCTCAGATTCACCGGATTGCAGCAGGACACGAGAGACAAATGAAAAAAGATTACGACTCAGCAAATAGAAAGTCTGAAAAAAGGGAAGATACAAAGAAGGACCAAGTGGGAAAATCTGAAAGTGTGAATGTAATAACCTAAATTAAAACTCAGTAGGTGGGATCAGTGGCAGAATTGGGGCAGAGATCAGTGAACTTGGGGACAGAACATTAGAAATTAACCAATCTGAAGAGAAGAGAGAAAATTTACTGGAAAAGGAATGAAGAAAGCCTTGGGGACATGTGACCTTAGAAAAAATATCTCACTTTCATGTTGATCCCAGAGGGGGAGGAGAAAGGAGGTGGCTGAAAAGGGACTTGGAAAATAACGGCTGAAAACTTCTCAAATATGGCAAAAGACGTAAACCCACAAATTTAAGAAGCCGAGTGAACTCAGAGGATAAACCCAAACACATCCATGCCAAAACACAGCTCAATTCAACCTCTGAAAATTAAAGAAAAATTCTGAAAACAGAGTAAAATGACACCTTATTTGGAGGGAAAAACAACTCGAATGGATTCCTCATTAGAAACCATGGACTCCAAAGGAAGTGGCACCACACTTATCAGAGCTGAAAGGAAAGAGCTGTCTCTCCAGAACCCTACAGCTAGTGACAATAACCTTTAGGAATGAAGGGGAAATTGAGACATTCTCAGATGAAAGAAACTAAGAGAACCTGCCACCTAAATGAATGGTGAAAGGAAGTTCCTTCTAAACAGAAAGAAAATGGCATCAGAAGGAATCTTAGACATGGGGAGGGAGGAAGAAATGTGGAAAGCAAAAAATGGGTAAATAAAACAGACTTCCTTCACCGCTGGGTCTTCCAAATTGTTTGACGGTCACAGCAAAATTTATAGCACTGGCTGATGTGGTTCTAAACGTTATGTAGAGGAAACATGTAAGACAACTACATTCTAAAAGAGGAAATGAGGGGGTATAAAGGAAGGTACGTGTCTAAACTTCATTTGAACTGGCAAAACGATGACACCAGTAGACTGTGACAGATACGTATGTATGATGTCGCACCTAGACAACCATTAAAAAGGTTAAAAACACAAAAGACATGTGACCAAAATTACTATATATAAAAATGAAATTTAAAAACATAAGCTTAAAAACACACTGGAAGTCAGAAAAAAGCAAAAAAATGAAAAAGAGAACAAACAGAAAATAAAGAATAAAATGATAGTCATAGGTCCTAACATATCGATTTCATTAAATATAAATGATCTAAATATACCAATTAGCAGAGTGGATTAAAAAAACAAAAAAGGACCCAACAATATGCTTATCTATAAGAAACTTCAAATACAATGATGAGGGCAGACTGAAAGTAAAAAGATGGAAAAAAGTATATCATAAACACAATCAAACCAAAGCAGGTGTGTCTGGCTGTATAATCATCAGGCAGAGTAGACATCAGAGCGAAGAAAATGACCAGTCAGAAAACGACATTACATAATAGGTCGATCCACCCAGAAGACGGCGATTCTGCACGTATGTACACCAAACAACCAAGCTGTAAACTATGTGAACCCAAACTTGGTAAGACTGGAAAGAGAAAGAGACAAACTACAGTTATGGTTGGAGATTTCAACACTGTTCTCGTGATAACTGACTGAAAAACTAGAGAGAAAACTGGCAAGGATACAGGACTCAGCAACGGTCAGCCATCAGGACCTGACGGGCGCTTACAGAACACGTCACCCAACAGCAACAGGATACACATTCAAGTGTCCGTGGAAAATATGCCAAGACAGATGACACACGAGGCCATAAAAACCCCAACAAATTAAGCAGAAGTGAAATCATACGGGGTGCATTCTCCAACCACCATGAACCAAACTATCCGTAACAAAAAATAAAAGAAAAATCTCGAAATTCTTGGAAACTAAATAATCCATGGGTCAGGGAGGAAATCTCAAGGGACATCAAAAAATACGTGGAACCGAATAAAAATATGACATATGGAAGCCTGTGAGACAGCTACAGCAGTTCCGACAGGGACGTTTACGGCAGCAGGCGCAACAGGGACGTCTCCAGTCATCTAAGCTCCCACCACTGAAAAGCCCCACCCAGCTGAGAAGGAACCAGAAGTCAGGAAGTAGAGCGGAAATCGATGAAACTGGAAACAAGAGAGCAAGAGCAAGATCAGTGAAACGAGGAGCTGTTCTCTGAGACCACCGACGGCATGACGGCTCTAAAGAAGAAGAGAAGACACGGATCGACGATGCCAGGAACGGCGTGGGCACCAGTGCGGACCCCGCAGACAGCGAGAGGACAATAAGAAAACACGACGGACGGTCCCTGCATACGCACTGAGGTGACGCGCCCAGAGCAACACGAACTGCTGTCACTCACCCGACGGGAAACAGGCAACCGAACAGATCTACGGCGACTCGGGAAACGGAATTCATCAACAAAAAGCTCCTGCAAGAGAAATCTCCAAACCCAGATGGCTCAGCCGGAGAATCCTAGCCAATGTTTAAACAGGACTGACAGCAATTCTACACCATCTCCTCCAGAAAATGAAGTCGGAAGAAAACTTCGGAACTCATTTCATGAAGCTAGCTAGAATTACCGTGATATCATGAACAAAGACAGTCAAAAACAGAAAATTACAGACCAACATCCCTCATGAATACGAACGCAAAAAAATATATACGGATGCAGCGATACACAAAAAGCA